GTTGCCGGTCCCGGGCCGGTACGGGGGGGACCCTGGGGGTTTCGATCCGTTGCCGGACCCGGAAAAAAAAAAAAAAAAAAAAAAAAAAAAAAATGATACCACCTACTTTGTGATTTCCAAACAAAATAAGTTAGAAAATATTACACTGTCAAAATAAAAGAGTTTCTCTTTTCACTTGTTCACCATCTGCTCTGCTTTTATTCTTTGGGGCATAATACACAAGGATGAAGTTTAGCCTAATGTGTTTTGCACTGACATTAAAAATGTTGAGCCTTCATCCCAGTATCATAGTCCTTTTATTGTGACAAACCAAATGCTAATCATGCTCTAACATTAAACAACTTTCTGAAAATACATGGATCTTAAGAGTTTAGGTTACAACTGTAAAAGTTGCTTCATTCAAATGTGGTCAGCTCTCTGGAAGCACTGGCATTGGAGCCAAAAGAAATTATGCATCTCAGCTCACACGTGAAAGAATGATTAAGATTACTGTTACTGAGAGGTCCTGCAATGGTTGTTTATCAGCCGTCTTGTTAATTTAAGAAGTGTCCTTTCCTTGCCTTCTTTCACTGTAGTCACAGAATTAGGAATAGTTTTATGTTTTAGTCATTTAGCTAGAGAATGTATGTTTTACTATAATTAAACAATCAAAATGCTTTTGTTACAGTTTTTGGAGACTTTAATTCATCTTTAGTGTAATTTACTCATCATAACTCAGCTTGCTTCATTGTCTTTGTGAAGTTATTGAATTGGCATTTTCATGGAATCACTTCTGATTCATGTGTTTAAACTTTGACCCCCATATACCAGAACTCTGTGCTACTCTTCTGATCACTCATAAGATGAATGCAGTGTTGTTTCTTAGAGGTTTGCTTTACTGGATTGGAATATATACACTAAATAAAGAATGCTGCTTCTCCAAAGCTAAGGGACATATTCACTGCTTACAGTTGTCTTCCCTCCCCACAGTTCGTTCATGTTCAGTTTGTTTATTTGGATGTTTAGGGTTGCAGAGTTACAAGTGCTACATTGTAGCTGGTTTTTGAAAACAATTCAAAATATTTATTAACTTCTTTGGTTTGACTGTTTTCTTAGGGGAGAATGAAGGGTGGGAAAAGGGGGCAAGAAAACTAAAATGAAAACTGTTCAGCTGAAGTTTTATAAAAATCTGACTTGAGTGTTTTTCTCTTCATTTGCTGCACTTATCTGAACAGTGTGACACCATCGCCACAACAGGCTCGGGTCTGTCCTCCCCGTATGTTACCTGAAGATGGAGCTAATCTTTCCTCTGCTCGTGGCATTTTGTCGCTTATCCAGTCTTCTACTCGTAGGGCTTACCAGCAGATCTTGGATGTGCTGGATGAAAATCGCAGGTGATTAGCCATCAGTGACTCTTGACAGCTTTGTTATATATTTTTTGGCTCCTTATTTAGTGGAATGTGGTGTCTTTTATGTTTGTACTTTCTAGTCTCTTTCTAAGATGCAGTGGTCTGAAACAGCTTGCTTTGCTTTGCTTTCCTTTCATTTGAAATTATTGTCCAAAATTCACATTTCACAACATTGCATTAGCTTTCCTTCAGTTAGAGAGAGTGGTTAGTTACTAACTATACACAGGAATTGTAATGATTTTTTCCAAAGGTTTTACTGACCTATTCTAAGTACTTGATTCCATTTGGGGATATGCTGAGAGATACTGTTTGATTGAGTGTGGGATGTTGGACTGCAGCATACTAGTTTTCTTCAGTAAGTCTTTTGATTTAATCATTTATGATACTAATATGACTGGATTAACACAGAAGATCTGAGAAGGTGATGTCAGTGTAACTACCAGGATGTTTTGTTCTCTTTTCCTCTTAGCTATGGAATTCTAGGCTTGTATTGGAAATCCCATGTGCTACTATCTTTTTGACAATGCTGATATTTTTCAGTACAACTTATCTCACTTTGAAATGTCTCCAAGTAAAATTATTGGTAGTATACTTATACTTGTTTATACAAATAATTTTTTTGCACTTATTTCAAATACTTTTTGTTCTTGTTTTATTACTACATAGTGTAATAAAAGGTTGAAATTCAGGGAGCTTTTTTGGCATAGTGTGGGAAAGGTACAGTCAGTTTTATTTCAACTCTGAACACTTATTAGTGGTTTCTGAGAGTCAGTGTTTGAATTTTCATTATCATTTTATTAGACTGTTACTTTTTACGTTTTGCAGAATTCCCAGTAAATTAAGCTGGCCCTTCCCTTAAACCTTATTTCTTACCTTAGGAACTGATATGTCTTCTGGCTTGCTCTGAATAAACTTTTTCTTGTTGAGTGCTTTTAATCTTCACACAGGCCCCAGGTGTTGCACTTTTCATGCTGCCACCAGTGTTGAAACCATGGTCTTTCTAAGCCTCCCCAGGGTCAATGTAATGATATGCATTTGGACCCAAGGACTTGAAGCTGTACTAAAAAGAACTTAAAGAGAATGCTCATGGCATTGGTGGGGGGCAGGGGTGGAGCAGGAGGGGTTATATATACATGTGTATTTATGTGTGTGTGTGTGTGTGTGTGTGTGTGTGTGTGTGTGTGTATATATATATGTTTTTTATTTGCTTGTTTTCCCCCGAGGGTTTAAAGTCCTTTTTATGTTCTTTGAAGCTTCACAGTCCACCCTGGGATGTTTGGAAGCTTTAAGAGCAGTTAGGTTCAGAAGAAAAAGCATGGATTCAGGGGGTCAGTCAGATTCAGTCTTGATCCACCCACTCAATAGCTACCTGATGGCCTTGAACAAACTGCCTTGATTCTCTGGGCCTTGTTTTCCTCATCTGTGTAAAAAGGGGGGAGAGGGAGGGATAATACCTAGCTTTTTTTCTGGATTCTTGTGAAGAATCTCCTCCCCGCCCTCACTTTTATTTAAGATATGGGGATAATGGCCTTAAATTATTTATTTAGTGTGGTAGGAATTCCTTCAAAATGTATTGGATATAGAGTATCTGGCACTTAAAAACTAATATTTACAAAGGCCTGTTTTCTTCTCCCTCCTTAAAACAGATTTATTCTGTGCCAGGTATCCTCCTCTTTACCTTCTTAATTATACCAGTTTCTTAGAAGAGGCCGATTATTGGGTCAGATTATTATTTGATGTAATATTTGATATTACGTCAAATCGATCATAGTGAAAATACCTGAAAGCGATATTTCTAAATCCTGTGTAGATTAAATAATAGCTAGATGACAAAGTCCCAGTACATTCAAATTATTTGTTCCACCCCTCCCCAGCAACATATAGGCAGTTCAGTGATACAGAACTTACAAAAATGAGGGTTTTTTTCCTCTATGGTGAAAAAAATTTTGCCTCAAGTTCAGGCATACAAAATCAGAAATCTTACTAATGTAAACTTTACTTTGTAGTCTTCTGTTATGAAAAACTTTTTTGAAGTCAAATTTTTTTTTTACATTGTAATAATTGGTAACTTTTAAAATCCCTTTTCTGGGAAGGAAATTTTCTTACTTAAATAACATTTTTTAAATTCATAAAGGAGTTAATAATACTTTACTCCTTGATGTATGCCATTACTTGTTACCTTTGAGCCTGGAGGGTTATTAAAAGAGTTTCTTTAGGTTGTATTCAAATCTCTTATGATCTAAATGTTGAGCAAGTTTTTATCAGAATTTTAAGTGCCAAATCAGTTTTTATTTCTATAATGAGAAATATCTAACATGACTTTTCAGACATAAAAAATAGGAATGTGAAATTTGGATAATGTTACTTGCATGATTAGAAAATAATATGGCTTATGAAATTTTAGGTGCTTTTATGTTCCTTGCTCTGTACATTATATTTTCCTTTACTTTATTACTCTTTGCTGTTATGCTAATCCAATATGTGGTCTTTCGTCTTATGCCATTGCAGTAGGTGTAATTAATTTAAGGGAGAACTATTACGCAGAAAGACAAAAAGCTTTCTGTCTGGTTTATCGTTATAAAATGATGGAGATTCACAGTTGCTTGACATAAGAACTATTGTTAGTTTATACTTCAAGGGGCACTGTCAAAAGATTTATGTACTACATTTTGTTTTTCTTACAAGAACTTAGATGATCTAAAACAAACTCAACATGAAAGCCAAGTTAAATCCTAGGTACAATTTAGAAAGTTTATTTACACAGGTCAGTTCTGTACATTTGGAAAATTGATAGATTTAAAATTTACCAAAATACCTGGGACAAGCATCAGGTGTGTTCTTTACTCAGTGGCAGCGGGATTTAAAATGCTGTTACGATTTGATCATCTGCTGGTTAGGAAATGCCCATCTCTTCCTACATCTGTTAGATCTATATATCTCATTTTCCAATGTAAAATATTAATTTTTTAAAAAGAAACTTAGTTTCTGTGCAAGAACATTATTTAAGTATTGATAGATGAGTCATACTTAAGTTTTATTTTTAGGAGGAGCTTGATTATTTTTATAGTTTTTCCTTACCTGAGTGTACTAGCTTTGAGAGAATAGAATAGGAAACGAATGTTTGGATAATTTATATTTTTGGCAAGAATCCTTATAAATACATAACTTGGAAGACTTAGAAATTCAAAGTTTCAGTTGATGCAATGTTTGTTATTTGTAATTTTGCTTTCTTAAAAAATGTGTGATTCCTGGTCCCGCAATCAAACTGTTTATTTATTGCAGCAGTTAACATTTTTATATCAAAAAAACACATATTCTTTTAAGTCAGACGATATAATACTCAAAAATGTCAATGTACAAGTTAATACTGGAACTTGATAGCCTTGGATTACCTTCCCTTTTGCTACTCTAATTGCAAAACATACTGTTGAAAAGATTTCTTTTATGTACTAAATCATACTTATGGTAGAAAGTGGTACTTGAATGAAGTTTCTAACTTTGTCAAATACCTGTCTGATTTATTTTATATTATATGTGTCAATTGCCAGTGTGAGAAGACAAAATGAAATACGTTGTGAAAGGTAACTGTATTATTTTCTGGCTCTGCATTATAAAAGGGAAATCTCTGTGGTGGAATATGTCGAATATGGCAGATTTATTTGAACGTATCAGTATGCGTTTTAAAAAAGATTTCAGGAAGCACACAGCAGTGGCTTCATTTAGTTAACCATTCCCATGTTAGTGTAATTTAAGATTGTAGTTAGGTAACAGTTTCCTAATACCACAGAGTAAATATGTTAGTAGGATGGGATGAGTTTAAACCCTTTCTCAAACATATGTGATTTCTCAGTGTTCCTTAGCCCCCCAAATAAAAGTCAAACATGACTTCCCCAAAAGTTTCTGAATCTTCTATCCTCTAGGCTCCAGAAATTTCTTCAAACACAGGTAGCACCTTTAGGACACGTAGAAGCTAAATATTAAAACTCTGTATATTAAAACTGTGTATATTGGCTTGTCAGAAAATAGTGACTTGTACTGTAGTTAAAATTCTACAACTGTGTCAATTTACAGGAAAAAAATCAGTGCATTTGGTTTTAAACATTTGCTGTAATTACATATAGCCTTGATACAAATATTTAGGCAAACCTGATCAGATACTTAGAGAATAAGACATGCAAAATAGGATTTAATAATTTCTAAAATCCTCATATGGACATATTGGTTATTATTTGGGCGAGAATTGGCCAGTGTACACATAGAGCTTTTGTTTTTCGATTTTAAAACATAAAATTTATTAGAAAGGATACTGCTTATCTAGGTAGAAAAATTGCATGTACTGAATTTGAGAATGAGTGAAAATCCCCACAAAGTTTTCCAGTGCACCTTAATCTTCATGTTGAGCAGCCCTGTGTGTCACTCCTGGTTGTCTCAAGATCAGACTCACTTACATATTTGATTGCACTTCCTGTAATGCACTATAGCCTGTCCCCTGATGTTTCAGCTCCAGAACTGACACTTGTATTTCTGCTCTGGAGAGCTGAGGGTTTCAATGAGACACTGCTACATTGATACATCAGGCACTAATCAGAATTAATAAGGTGGGAGGGAAGGAATTGTGGGAAATGGGAGTTTCTTGAAATTTATAGTTTTTGAGATAGAGCTGTTGCTATCGGATGAGCAACCATGATCATGCAGGTGCTACTAACTGGTTCTTGACATGCTTTAAAAGTTGCTAGTGATTTTTTTTCCAACTAGAAAAGAGGAATTACACTTTTTAAACAGAATTGTTCTCTGTCTTGAATTCCATAAAGTATAAGCACCAAAAAGAGTTATTTTATATGTTGGTGCTATTTTGTCACATCCATATAGATTCCCCTTGTTTCTTTAATCAATTGTAGACTGTTAAATTTATGAGAATCATGAAATGCAAGACATATGAAACAAAGACTTTAAAGTATTTGAGAGATATTATATTGTATCATAACATACAATATAATCCTATTTGACATTTATTTGTCTTGTTTTTGCTTTTATTTTATTACTTCTCTGTTTCCTGACTCTGTCTTGTGCCTTCTCCCGCAAAAACCTGCCTTAGACCTGTGTTGCGTGGTGGGTCTGCTGCCGCCACTTCTAATCCTCATCATGACGTCAGGTAAATTTTGAGTCTTTATAATTACCAGGGTAAATGGTTGACGGAATTTGTGTTTTGCGGGACGTAATGCATGTAGTAGCCATGCCTCTATGTTATAGCTGGAGCTTCTACAGCTTTTCTTGATGAGTACATCCTGCTCTTCTCTAAGAACAATGAGTCCGATTAGTCATGACATTTGACCACTAGAGTATGAGGGAAAACGTTTAATAATTATGATATGGTATGATGTGACATCTGAGACATTTTATTTAGATACCGTTTTAATAGCTTATGGGAGAACATGCTAAAACACAGAAAAAATAATCTTAAATCATGTATTTTGTACATTGTTTTAATTGTTGCCTAGGTTCTCTGTCCAGCATTTCTTTTTTAGTTGTTAGTTATCTGTAACGTCACTTTCAGTGTGTAGATAAACCTGTCTGTAAGGCATCATCTTAAATTGGGAGAAATCAGCATTGACAACAGGACTGTTCAGGAAATTGAACATTTAGAAAGAGAATTTAGTTTTAAGTGTTTTTATCATCTGTTGATTTAAACCTTCCTCTGTTATTTTCGCCCTTTCCACACTTTCAGAATCACTTAGCCTGAGTAATGATCTCTCCCTGTCACGCAGGTAGAATGGCACATGCGAACACTTAAGGTTCTCAAAAGTGTCAAAATCCCCATTTAGTTTTCCCATCTTCTGGAAAAACAAAAGTGAAAGTGGTTGGTATTCACAAGTGCTTATTGCTGTAATTTTTTCAGAGCCAAATTTGTTTATTTAAGCAGAAATATATTATCAGTAGCAGTAAATTTAAGCCTGGCAGCATTATTTCTATGATGAAAACAAACTGCCACTTATCATTTAAGCAAGAGAAAAGGGAAAACGTGAGTTTTTCATTAACACTGAATTCGTGATGGAGAAATTTAAAAGGGTGCCATTGGTGGTCCCTGACCACTCTGATGACTCGTTTCTTTTTAGAATCTTAATTCAATTCGTTGTAGTTTTCTCTTGTATTTTTCTGTTAAGTTTGTGATCCTTTTATCTTTCTGCGAAAGCATTTTCAGCCAATAGTCTGACGTAGCATTTCTTATAGACTTTTTAGTTCTGGTAAATACAGGTTTTGGTTTAAAACACATTGTAAAGTAATATTTGTTTTTGTTTTAAATTGAATTATATAGGTAAAGTCTTTTTGCTATATCCTTATTTCTTTGCAAGTTAAAGTTTCCTTTACAGTTTTCTAAAACCCTAGTTAAATTTAAGATGTAAATTTTGAGTAATCTCTATTATCTACATTTCATTGTCTGTGTTCAGTCCACGTCCCTTTACCTGTGAGGCAATTGCTTCTAATGTTTGATTTTTCCCTCCCAGTCATTTATTTCATATGCGACCTCAGGAAAATAGAGTTTTATGCTGAGGATGAAATGTAGCAAAGAACAATCTTCAACCCTTATTTTTTCCACTAATCATTTAATAATTGTGTTTTAATGTTCAAAAGAATAATTAACTCAGATGTTTGTAAACCGATAGTTCTAGCATATGCTAAGAAGTTCACTTCTCTAACTTTCCAGTATTCCGGGATATTTACTCTGTTCCCATGAAGAAAGGGACAGTTAATGGGAAAGCAAGTTACTTTAGCTGTAAAAGGAACATTTAGAGATAGTTGTAGATTATAGTCAGTATATACCATCTTTTATTTAAATTCTGTTTTACATACTATGTTAAAGTGTTTTTGGATTATTTTCAACAACATTTGGAACACAAGGATTTTCTGAATGGACTTGTCTTTAACATGTCTGGATGAAAAATATAATTCCACTTCATATCCTTTTGTGTGGTAATGTGCTTTTTGTAATGGGGACTTGCTGGGAATATTATATGCCAACTCTGTAGTTTACATAGGAGTAACTTTTAATTAAATTATATCCTGCTCATTCAGAAAAGTTACTATGTCATTTTACTGAAATAACCATATACGATATAAAATAGATATGCATGTGAAATGAATTATATATAAATTATATCTCAATAGAGCTGTTAAATTTTAAATTGTGGAAGTCTAAGTAAAGGGAAGAAGTGGCATTTGTGTGTATTTGTTTTTCAGAAATTTATTGTCATTCATTTAAAAATCAGTGTCCTTTCAGAAGTAACTGCATTTGAACAAAAAGTACTTTTTAATGTGCTTTCCCTGGATTTTGTCTTAGTGGTCTTCTTGTGTTATTGTTTTATACACTATTATTATGGAATAATTCTGGATCTAAATGTAGTAGCAAGACGTATTCAGGAGGTTTTATTATTGCTTCTATGGGAGAACACAATAGAGAGTAAGTGATTGGAAATAAGAGTAGAAATGGCAAGAGAAGAGGCGGTGAGAAGAGGAGGAGAAATAAAAAATGATTGATTTTTTTTTTTTTTCAATTAGACTTAGTCTGCTTTGCGTTCTCTGCCAATGAGTGTCTGCCTTTGGAACTGTATATGGACATAAGTTTGTGTAAGAATTGTAGGTTAATATCCTAGAGCAGTAGCTCTCAAACCTTTTCAGCCAGGGATTCTTTTTAGCATTGCTAGTCCCTCTGGCTTGAAAATTTTCTGCTTGTATCTTGAGGTAGGGTTTCTTCTCATCTCTCAAAGTTTCAGTACATTTTCCCAGTATTGTAGATATTTGTCATCTTAAGCTTTTTTCTTTCCTTTGTTAGTAATTCAGGTGGTAAAAATATTTCAGTAATTCATATTGTTCAATACCAGTCGTTTGAATGTTTCTTAGAGCATTATACAACACATGCATCACATGGTTTGCCAGCTACTCTTATTTCTATTTTAATATTAACCTATTTTTTATTTCTTTTCTGCTAGGTATGGCATTTCAAATATAGATGCAGCAATTGAAGGAACATCAGATGACATGACTGTTGTAGATGCAGCTTCATTAAGACGACAGGTAGTTAATGTACCAAATAAGATATAATCCCAAGTTATAGTCATATAATATTTTAAAGTGATAATTCCCAACACTTTATCATGTTTTTCTCCAGTGGAACCCATGAATTGACATTTTATCTATGAAACTATTTAGTAAAACATAATCGGTTTACCCATTTTGATTAAAGTTATATAAAGCCACCATTTACATGTTTTGATCAGCATAAAACAGTATTACCAAGATGGATTGATGTAATTCTGGCCAATAACAAAAAATCTTGACATTTTAGCAAACCAGTACAGACAAATTGCTTGTTCAAGGCATTTGAAATGTGGAATAATCACTTTGGGGACTTCTGCTACTTTGTTTAATTAGCTCTGTTTTGGAAGCCAGTGCTTTCAGTTTGCACAGTGTCTTTATATACACATGTCTTGTACTCTGTAATAAATCCTATCTTGGAACTGCAGTTACATATGCCTAGTTTTAATATGTACCCCTACAACCTCTAGAATCAAACAAACGTACACACGTGTGGGGATGGCATATTTGCTGTCCTCATTGTGTCTATACCAAATAGATGTAGAGGGAAATTGGATGAAATGAAGTATTTTTAAGTAGAGATCAATAGGGGAGCATGAGGTTAGGCAAGGCAGTTGTTCAGCCCAGGGTTATTTGCAGTGAGGACCAACAGCCAAGGATGGTGCTGTCAACCAGCAACATTTCTAGCAGCCTTTCAGAGCTGAGGGGTCTGGGCAGCATGTCATGGGGCCCACTACTATAGGTTGTTTTATAGGACCCTCGCGGTGACTCACAGAGGTGAACAGAGAAGGTAGTTATAACAGGTTAAAGATGAACAGCTGAGGCTGAATGACAAGAAGCTTATAGAAGAGGCACAGAAAGGGACAGGAGTCCCTTATTCTTTCTGCTGTGGTAAGCCTACCTAAATGTATACTTAGTCTTTTCTACCAGAATAGCAATATGGTAAAACAGTAGAAAAGGCTAGCAATATTCTGGTAGAGAAGAATAGAAATATTTTGGTAGAAAAGTTTCTGACGCAATGGTTTCTTCATCTCACAATCTGGTAAAGTAAGGAAGGAAATATACTCTAACTTAGAAATTTGGAGAAAGGAATGGGGGATGGGTATTTGAGTGAATTGGAAGTGTCATGAGTAACATTTTTTCTATATGTAGTTGTATTAGTTTATTTTGCTCCAAATGAAGCTTCCCATGTTTGTAATAATTTTTTTGACAAGTTGTTATACTGCTTTATAAGAACCTGATTGCTCTATGTATTAAACCTTCTATTTTGTATTTTTGTTTGTTTGTTTTTCACTTAGATAATCAAACTAAATAGGCGTCTACAGCTTCTAGAAGAGGAGAACAAAGAACGTGCTAAAAGAGAAATGGTCATGTATTCAATTACTGTAGCATTCTGGCTGCTTAATAGCTGGCTCTGGTTTCGCCGCTAGAGGTAACCTCAGCTCTCAAAAATACTGGCTCAACAGCTGGAAATATAAAAGATTTGAAAACTTCTTTGTTTCTGTCTTTGCATTGTATGCCATTTTATAGTCCATGCCCTAAAAATGTATTTCTTCCAGAAAGTAGGGGGGAAGGACCTATGTTTGTAGAAGTAAAAGTACTTTCTGTCACTCAGCTGTATTCACTTTTAACCAGTTCTGCAGTAACACCTACTTAAAATTCTCTTTGCATGTTTTGTAAATAGGCTCTAGTTTGTTTTCTAAAAAGAATTGATTTTTTGCCTCATCGGTCTGCACAACTAATTCTCTGAATGAGAGAGAGAGTGCATAGAGAATGGATTTAGAAAAGTATCTCTAAAAGAAAAACAATATTTTGTCCTGTTTCTCAAACAGTTAGATTAAGCAGTTTTGTTAATAGACATTTTTGCATCTGCATTTCAACATTAACACTTTTGAAGTCATGGTCTGGTGCCAGATTTAAGAAAATCAAGCCACCTAATATTTTATGATCACCTTCATTAAGCACCTGTACAGATTAAATTAAAATAATTCCTAACATTTCAGCAGCTTATCTAATATGTGTGCAATATGTGCGTTCTTATTTTCATTTTAGTTTTGCAGACGGTTTTCTATAAAGTACGTTTTTACTGAATCCATGTGTGAATAATTTCAAAAACTACAGAATAAGGTACCAGTGTAGTGTATTTAATAAACTGTCAACTAAAGCAATATTTGTCTTTGGAAAGATTTTATTTCCTCATACTGCTCTGTGAGCTAAATTCTGTATTATGTTACCGTATGTGAGTCTTCTCATCTCAGGAGCAAGTAACGCAGTCGACCGAGCAGGTAGCAAGAGCCTACTTTGCTTTCTTTCAGATCTTCACCCTGGTAGGAGTGGGCGTTGGTTGCGTTGTAGGTGGTTTTCTATTTGCAGTATCAGATTAAAATACCTTGAGTTGTGTATGCTTTTTCCATTGTGGTACTTACTTGCTATTGTACTAACTCGTGAGAATTAAACATACCAATGAAACCAAGTCCTGGGCACCTTCAGTTCTCAAAATTTTCATTTTCCCTTTTTTGGTTTAGAAACAGGTAGAAATCAGTGAGGTGCGATATTCTCCACACATCTTAGTGTCTTTCTACCAAGGCAGTGAAGTTTAGGAAAGGCAATTGAGGGAAATTCCTTAGATATAGGTAGATTGGATGTTTCTGTTCTTGCTTCTCCATCATTCCTCCAAAAAAAATATTAGGAGGAAGATTCTTCTCTGTACTTAGGTTTATCATGAGTTTGATGACAATGTTTTTTTTGTGTGTCTGTGGAAGTGTTCTGACTTTTGGTAATATCCTAATGGTGCAATTATATTAATTCTAGCTTCATACACAAGGGTGCTTCCAAAAGTTCATGGATTCATATTACCTTTTAATTCTATTTTTCCATGTACTTTCTGTAGTACTTTGTGAAGTATATACCACAAGGTTGTTTCTGTGAGCAATCCTCCCAGTCGAAACCACAAAAACAAAATTATGGATAAAAGTATCACCTCTTTTGCTAAACAGGCATGAAAAGGATTCCACAAAGGCCAAAAATGAAATAAAAGTAGGAATTTGGGGAGATAAGTGCAAAAGCTCTCATTCTCCCTTATGATTTTTACCAAACACCGGAATGGTTGTGCAAAGGGCAGAGGATGAATGAAGCTGGGAGCCCCCAAAACTACTTCTTCAGTGGAAGGATGAGTGAGAAATCTATTTACTGTGCAAAAGGGGACAACAAAGAAACATGCCTTTCTTGACCTTGTCACGTATCTGGAAGTAGAAGAGCTTGAATATCTTTAACTCCAAAGCCAGGCTCTCTCTGTTACACCAGTCCGCTGCCCCTAAGTTGTTAATCAGTGTAAAGAAGCATTTCAGAGTTGAGAGGAACAAATTCATTCTTGGTTAGGTTAATCAGGAAATACCTCTAAGAGATATTTGAGCTGAACCTTGTAGATATATACGGTTAGCCCTCCTTATCCTCAGGTTCCGCATCCATGGGTTCAACCAACTGGGGATTGAAAACATTCAGGGGGGAGAGATTGTGTCTGCACGGAATATGTGCAGTCGTATTTTTCTTGTCATTATTCCCTAAACAATACAGTGTAACAACTACTTACATAGCATTTATAGTGTATCAGGTGTTATAAGTAATCTAGAGATGATTCAAAGTATACGGGAGGATCTGTATATGTTATATGCAAATACTACCCCATTTTATGTAAGGGACTTCACCATCCATACATTTTGGATCCATTGGAGGTCCTGGAACCAATGATCCGTGGACACCGAGGGATGATTGTATAGGATTTTAACAAGAGAATGAAGAAAAAGATTCTGGATATCCACTTCTAGGAATACTTGTCGGAACATTTGCAGGTCGTTTACATTTCAAGGGATAATTTTGTGAAAGTAGTGTATTTTCAAAAGAGCTTTCCTTCCTTTCCTGCATGAATGTCTGTTTTCCAGTTTCTTAACTGTATCTGACATTGAATTGAATCGTTTTTCTGGGCTTCAAGTTCAGAAATGTTTAATTAGTCATAAGTGTTCTTTTGCTTATAAGGTATTATCATCTCAATAAGTAGAGACTTCTTTGTGCACATACCATACCAACCTAAGAACTAAGCAGTTACAGAAGATATGCCATAGGCCCTGCTCTTAAGGAGTTGACATATTATTGGGGGGGGGCGGGGGGTGTTAAAGCTTTATTAAAGAGTTAGAGAATTATAAAATCAATTTTATTATAGAAAAGGACGAGATATGTGCTAAAGGATGGGGAGATGAGAGTTTTAGACGGCAGATAAGTAAAAAATAAAAGTGTAGATTCCAAAATGAGATTGACTTGGGGTTTGAGAGTGAAAGTGCATTGGGGGGTGGGTACAGGCTCATATGTGTGCAGACATGGATTTGCAAGTTTAGGTACCTCATCAGAGATGGCATGCCCCCAAAAGACACTAACCATAGGTGGCCCATAGGCTTTAGACATTTAATCCATGGCAGCAGTTTCATAAAATAGTGAATGAATAACTTAGCAGCTATTTCAGCTGATTGTGCTACTGCCAACCATCCTTTCTTTTGCCTCCTGAAAAGGGAGACTTAAGTCTCTGTCTCTTCTGACCCTCTTGAGAACTGGAGTCATTTCTCTCCCATTTGCAGGGTGATGAGAACATTTTAAGCACTATATCACTGACCCTTGTATTCTTCACTCAAGTACAGTGAGCTGTCATTTATTTTACCTGCGTTTTAATTTCATGGCTAATAGCAGTTTAACACTCATTTAATAAACCTTGAGTCTCCACTAAAAGCTGGGCACTGAAGATAGCATTTATTGGTTCATTCAACCAAATACTTATGATGGCCCTTCTTTGTATCAGGTACTTTGCTAGGTGCTGATTGTACCAGGAGTGAATAAAAGAAACATGTCTCTGTACCCGTGGAGCTTGTGGTCTTATGGGGAACAGTGAAATTTAAGAAGCAAGCACATATGAAAATGAGATTGCCATTGTGGTAAATGCTGTAAATGCATGCTAAAGGAGAGAGTGAACCCACTTCTCATTAGGTGGTTGGGGACAGCCTCTCAGAAAAAGTGGTAGTTGTGCTGAAATCTGAAGGATAAAGAGGACTCAGCCAGAGAAAAGGCAGGGGTAGGAGGTTGGGGCTGGGTGTGGGGAGAGGAGAGGCCTTGCTAAGGACCTGGAGTTGGGAAGGGCCGAGGACCAAATGGATAAGGACATGGTCCCTGTTCTCTGAAGTTCTGTAGTGACAGTCGAGATAAAAACATGTTACATTGTGACGGGTATGATAATAGTGGCTTGGGTAAGTGCTAACTTAGTTTATTGGAACCATGCACACTGGGAAGACTTCCCCAAGTAGGAGATATTTAAGGTAGGCCTTAAGGATAAATAAGTATGGTAGGGGTATAGGCAGAATGTCCTTATATAGCGAATGGATTCAGAAAAAAAAAGCTTATAAATTTTGGATGTTACTAATCTATCTGGGCAGCTGTGATGTAGATACTGTGAATTATTTGTAGAACATAAAGCCCAGTGAACATTTAAAAAGCAGTTGAAATAAAATGCAGGAATGATAGCATTCAGAAATTGTAGATTTTTAGTTTTGTCTGTTTTACATAATTTTAATATGGTAAATACACTTGTTAACCTATCTTTTAAAGATTGGCATATATAGAAACCAGCTTTTGAAAGACTGATTTTTTTTTGTATTGTCTTTTAATTATTATTATGAAAAATGTAAACATAGGAAAATAGAAGAGTGTAATGAATTACCATGCACCTGTAACAATGCATATTTTTCCATTGCTTCATTTTTTCGGACAAAGTATTTTAAAAACATGACATTTTCCCCCGAACATAGAAATACACATTTCTAAAAAAAAAAAAGTACATTTTCTTAAATAACCATAAAACCACTATCAGACTTACAAAATTAACAATTCATTAATATCATCTAACCCAATTCTTGTACATGTTTCCTCCAATTATCCCTAACAAGGTCCACATAATGCATTTAGTAGAAACACATCTCTTTGTTCTCTTAATCTAGAACAGTTCCCTCAATCCAGCCCACCTTTTTTCTTTTCCTTTGATATTCTCTTGTTGAAAAGAGGCTATTCTGTTTACTGTCCACCTTTTGGAGTTGTCTGTTTCTTCCCCTTGCAAGCTGGGAATTAGATTTAAAGACTTGATTACATTCACGTTATATATTTATCCTCTTTAAAATATAACAAAATACAATGCAATCGTCCCGTACTTTCACTTCCCGATGACTTCTGTTCCTTGTCATCCTCCCTCCCTCCTGCTCCCCTTCTCCCTTTCCATCTCTCTCTCTCCACACAAGAATATAGAGTCAGAAACTTCTAATAGCACAGAAGAACAGAAAAATAAAAAACAAATGGAAAGCGTCTTTCCACTTCTCCCCACAGTCGGCCACTAATGATTTTTCCTTTCCATGTGAAAGCATGTGATGCATTTACAACATGCATTATATGTAAAAGGTAATTTTTTTTTAATCACCTCGAAGATGACTTTAAAAACTTTTTGGATTAAAATGACTGATATAGCTTTCTAAATAACGCTTTATTATTGAACTTCTAAAAGAGTGTATTTTAAATGTAATTCTCAAATAATTCAAACTACTAATACTTCCATTTAACTACACAATTTGACTTCTTCGCTTAGAAACTCCACACAGACAGCCAAGGAAACCAATGAGTATCTGACTGAACCCAAACAGCAGCTCAAGAATTCCAATAAGCAGTAGACCTAAAAATACTGAGAAGTGGATTATCCTATGGGTTTCTTCAGAACTGAAGTTAATGGTGGAGTTATTGAAACCAGTAGGAGATAGACAAGAGTCACTGAAGAACCACTGCAGATCGAAGGATTCTGGATGAATGTGACTGAAAAAAAGAAGTGATACAAATAAGATATTAAGAAATATCACTGACCATCAAAGGAATGTAGCGTTGTGCTCAGAATAAATATAGTCAAACAATGCACTTTTGAAATACAGTGCCTAGAAACTATACGTAAGATCAGGGTTTTGAGCGTGTTTCCATATACGCTAGTAGTTTATAAAACTTTTATTCATTGTGTATCCTGTCATTCAAGAAGCGTTTCTATAGTACACCTACTCTTAGGTTGAACGATATGAAATTGCTGTTTTTCTGTGTCTGAAATGGTCAAACATCCACAGTTTCACTTGGTTCAACCTATTTTTGAAGGCAGTCTTCTACTTGCTAAAGATTTAAGCAAACAAAGGAGCTCAGTTTTTAGTGCAGAACTGCAGTGTTGCTTCTGCTCTTAAACCAGAAGTACGGTTTTTATTCACAAGACATTTTAAATACAAGTGACTTCTGCCTGTTCTAACAGGGCTGTGGAAAATGAGAAACTTTTAGCCCTAACACGTCTGTCTCAAGATGCTTTTTCTTGGGTTTATTACGCAGTAAGACAGTGTTCTTAGGGAGTTTGTGTTTCTGAATACCAACAACTGACATCCGACCTAGGAAAATACTACTGTTTTCAGCACGTTATTAAGTCTACTTTGTGAAATTTGCAGCAAGCATAGTGTCACTCTATTGTAACTGTTTACTAGATTAGCCCATCTCCCCAACTAGACTGGGAATGCCGAGTGCTGTTACCTGCAGAGCTGAGCCTGGTGCCTGGTACATGGTGAACTGCTGCCATTCCCAGAGGACTGAATGTGTTTAGCATCTGTGGTTGAAATCTCTAATCTTAAAATCTATTAGTAAGGGAAATTTCTTTGGGTTTTCATTCACCACAATTATGCAAAGTTTGAGAGTCTTTTTTAGTGTAACAAGGTAAGGGGAAAAGGAGGGAAACATTTTTTTTTCATTTAACTACAAAAATAGATTCTAGTTATTTTCCAAACTGAGTAGCCTATGCAGATAGCTAATGAATTAGATTTTTCATTTCTTCCAGTTTTTACAAATTGTGACTAGATTCAGGCACAGGACCATCTTAAAAGACTGAAACGAGCCATTTATAGTAACTCTTCGGTATTATTTATTACGTGACTTAAATTTTGATTCATTCCCGTGCGTACAATATTATACTATGTCTGCATGAGTTCATTGGCTGCTTTGTTTCTTTTAGGGCCTACAGGTAAGGGTTTATTTTTTATTTACTGTGTTTTTATTAAATTTTTTAAATTAATAAAGGTAATATATACTCATGGTTTACAGATTTCATTAGTTCCGAAGTGTAGAAAGTAAATGTTGCCTTCGCTCTCCCAGGGTGTCCCCCATTACCGTTCTCCCAGGATGGAAGTTTAAGTTTCTGGTGTATACTTCCAGAAGTTTTCTGTACACATAGACATACACATATGTAGCCATAGATTTTTAAAATACAAGCATAACCCATCTGAGATCAGCTAGTCCTTTTAGGTAAGATCATATTCAGAGCATCCTGAGTATAGTGATCGCTACGTTTCTAAGTAAGATTGTGCCAATTGGGATTTAATGTGCTAAATCCCTAAGAATCTGTTTGCTCCAGTAGTTGCATCAAAGAAAAACATGGCATTGTTTCAGCACCACACTATTGTAATCTTAACTAACTGCATCTGTGTAAGACACTGAGACAATGAAATCAGGTTACTTACGTTAAGTTTTTCAATGAAAATTCACAAGTGGCTGCACTGTTGCTTTGAGTGTTACAAATGAGAGGACCTTCTGCGAGAGCCTGGATAGATACTAACATGCAATACACAGCACCAATGACTGTGATTATGTTCAAAAGTGATGAAAGAAGCATCTGGAAAATAAAGTAAAGCCATTTGCACACGTTATTACATGTTCTTGGTCTTGTTCAAGCTCATGTGCAGTCTTTTTTTAATCAACTGCTAACGTTCTCCAGTCACCCTACAGTTCTGGATCTTAAGATCACAGTTCGATTAGCCGCGAATTAAAAAAGAAGGCAGAAGGCAAAGTCTCTGCCACTTGATTACACTCACTGAAAGATGGCTGAGCTTGCCACTGTCTCTGAAAAATCTCAACCTTTATATTATTCCTGAGCCTTGTGCATTTCATCTGACCACCGAGATCTGGTTCTTCCTCCCTGTTCTGTGTACTTCCTACTTGAACTTGACTAGATCTTAACCACCCACATTTTAATGTCTGGTCTCTCAGCTCACCAACCTTTAATCTGAATTTTGCCCTGATTCTCTAAGCGACCAGCATCCTGCCATGATCAATCAACACTGTAGTGTTAGACAAGGACTTCCCAACCTCAGCACTACTGACATTTGGGCATTTTGCTGTTGGGCCTTTGTGAGTTAAGCCCAACACCTGCATGAAAAGTGGCTTCGTTATTCTCACCTGGCTGTGTTCTCAAAGGAGAGAGAAAAGTGATCATTGAAAAGATTAATTTTTCTTAAAAGGATATGTGCAGGAAGAAATATATATATATTCTTAATGGAAATAAGATTTCAGAGAAGGTCCTGTTAAGTGTTTTGATATCTTTGCAGGGATTCATTTCTCAAGAATGTTTTGAGTACAATATAGAAGTGATGCAAAGTCAAACTCCAAGTTATTATAGTTCGTAAAGAAAAGTGACTAACTTTTCTAACTATTGTGGATATAAATACCTGTTCTCTAAAACAACATACTCAAATCACCTTGGGTGCTTTTGAAAAATACTGATGCAGAATCTCTGGGGGCCGCCCAGGCATTAGTACTTTTCAGATCTCCCCAGATGATTGTAATGTTCCTATCTGACTGAGAACTATTGCTTTAAAACCTCAAGCTCAGCCAGGCTTATTTACTGTGACTGCTTGTTATTGATCTGACCCTTTCCTTAGAGAATTATGAGAGCTCTCAGTGTTACTTAAATAGCAATGTTTATCGTGTCAATAGTGTAAAGATTGAATTTTGGAGTCTGGTGGATTTGGATAAAAATCCACTTACTAGCTGTGCTACACTGGCAAATTATTTACTTTCTCCAAATATCAGTTTCTTCGTCAATAAAACACAGATCTTACTATTTCTCAAGCGTTTTGAGAGAATTAAATGAGGTAGCATATTTGAAAATGTTCTGAGCAGAGTGACACTTGGGTTAATGAATATTAACTTTTAACTTGGTTACAACTTTATAATAGTAGATAAGTATTAAATGTTTGAAAAAATAACTGGCATCGCCTTTAACTGGACCAGGACAATTATCATTCTGATCCTAGCAAACCAGACTTTCATATGCACGAGAGAACTGAGAATATGCTTTTCCATAAGCGTTTTATGCACTCCAAAATTGATAAGTATTTGAGTATTATGAAATTGTTTATAGCTCTGGCTGTGTGACTAAATCTCCTCTCTTTGAAAACCTTTAGATGGGTGAACTGAAAATTGAGGAAAGGACTGAAGGATAGCTCCCAAACAAAATTTTTATGGAGGGAAAAACCCCTGAGTTTCCATGTTACCATATAATCATCCTAAATAGCATGTTTCTAAGACTGTGGCCCTGCCAGTGGAGTCCTACTGTGATTCAGTAGATGCTGATGACTCAGAGTGGCCTTGCCTAGATGTCAATAACAGTTTATGCACTTCCGCCTCCAAACCGATTGCTCAATACTCACTCCAGTTCTGTCGTTGCAGCAAGCTCTTTTTCTTGCTGCCAAGGACATCATTGTTGCTGGAATGACCTGGGAATTACATTAACAGGAAAGATGAGTATTACACTTATGAGATGAAACAGTAGTACTACTCTCTGACTTCCGCTTACCACCAGTTATAGGGAATCAAGGCTCAAGAGAACAAAAGGAAGTCTGTCAATATCCTGGATCTTGTGACCCTCGTGACTCCAATTTTAACCATAAAGATTAAAAGGTGGGGCGGCGGGCAGGGGTGGTTCAAGACTGCAGTTGTGAAGTCTTCCATCTACATTCTTAGTTTACTCTGAGTCATCTGCAGAGAAACTTGGATTTTGAGTAGATTAGGATGACATGCTTTATTTTATAAGAAATATTTCTGAAAGAATTGGTTGCATTTACTACAATCTCCAGCCTCTTACCCAATTTCCTTTAAATTGCATAAATTAGTCTGGCAAGCCTCCAGAAAGGAAATGAATGGTTTTGTTTGCTGGGCAGTTGGGAAGAGATTCTCTCCCTACCCCCTCCCACTTGTCTAACTTTCTTCTCCCAGAGTCACCATCATCTTGCTAGTTTCCCCAAGCTTAGATCTGAAAATTGTTTTTGGTTCCCATTCTCCTTTCTGCTCCTATATCCATGATATGTAATGATCTCAGTTTACACTGATGTCCAGAAATCTTTTATATATTGCATTCTCTATTAAGGGAAAAACATATTGCTAGGGAAAGCTGTAAGAAATGACACCGTATTCTCGGGACTTAGGTTTCAATTTTTAGTTATATCTAGTCAGCAGCTATCACTAGAAATTCTTACTGGAAGGAGTTTTGTATCATTGAAGGGTGGGAAGTAAATTACTTCCTTCCACTTGAGAAATTTTAGCCATAAGGTTTTTTTGCCATCTCAGTACAGCTGCCCATGACTAGCTCACTCTCTACTTCTGCTCTCATTTTGTAACGTTTTATTGAGCTCTAACTGCATGCCAGGCACTGCTGTTGCTTTACCTGCTGTAGCTCATTCCATCCTTATAACAATTCTGTGAGGTAGGTGCTGTTACTATCCCCACTTTTTTTTTTTTTTTTTTGTTTTTTTTTTAAAAAAATTTTTTTTTT